TATTTGAACTACCATGAAGACTAAACTTCAAGTACCCACCAGGTGGTGCAAGCTCATCTCTACTGGTATGACCTACCGAGGTGTTTCCATAGCCTGTACAGCACTGTCCCCAATTTGTTGTTGCTCAGCTATCAGTTGGGTAATAGGCATGAGTTGCTGTATGTTTCTCTTTTCTAAATCAATTGTGTTAATGGACAAGGGAGATATGGGTACAAAGAGACTAGTCACTAATTATTCCCATTCATTGTTGTCCATCACTTCCTCTGTAATGTTCTCCTCAATCCATACACTTGGCTATCGTGCATGGGTCCCAATCTGAGTCAGAGAGATGAGCTTTAGACAAAACCCATCCAGGTTCCCCTAATCTGGCATTGTACCAACTGAAAAGTGGTGGCATCCCAGTGCACACATGGTGTCACTGAGCTGTACCACCTCTTTCACTCGGTCCTTGGTGATTAATCTGCCCTAACTTCCTTCTGAGGTAACTGCATTCATAGAACCATCTAACTGTGCCTGGTTCTTTAACAACATGTGGTGTTTATCTCAACACCATCCCTTGTTGCCAAATTAACTCTAGGATACTGTTGTCTATATGTTAGATTCTCAAAATATCCATACTGGTAACACATACTAATTCTGTAGGACATGCTGTCCATCTGGGAATAGCAATCATGATTGGCAAAGTCCCATTATTAATTTCATGTGGTGCCCAAAGCCTGCGACATTCTAGCCAAAGAAATTGCACATTTTTTTTTCAATAGTACATTTCCTTTTCCACTAGTGTGATCCAGATCTGTTTAACAATCTGTGTGCTGTTTAACAATCTTGACCTTTCCCCCCACTTTCTGTCTTGTGTTAAATGCATAACAAGTTAAATACCATATATGCTGTAAATAATTTCTTGAGAAATGTTAAGTATCAGAGGGGTAGCCGTGTTAGTCTGGATCTGTAAAAAGCAACAGAGTCCTGTGGCACCTTTGAGAAATGTTATTACTCAATGACTCACAGTATTTACAGATATATTAATTCATTTAAAAGTTTATGCAATGGAGTGCATATTTCTAATAGTCCTCATGTCCTGCTGCAGTGTTAGGCTACTGAACCCACCTCCTTTTCTGATCGTTTTTCCAAAACCATTGGCTAAAAAGTTAATTCTAAGATTTGACCCTTCAGTGTCTGCAGAACTACATAGTGAAACTCCAACTCCTGCTTCACCCAATGTAGTTGCCAAAGTATCTCTTTTCTTTCTAGTATTTTTAAGCAATTGATGTATGCCTCCGACAGGACTCTGCCATAATCTGATCTGGGATTTAATATTATTGGTAAACCATTTCTTATATAGGACTAAGCAGGTCCCAGGGAATCTGTATTTAATAAAATCCAAAATAAATGGGAGGTATATCCACCCTACATCATCTACCACTGTTTCATGAGTGGAGAGTATAAAAATACCATTTTCTGGCCATGGAGTGGTCATGGGACATAGAGGAAGAGCGTAATTTTCAGGGGGGTTTATGGTAGAGGTACTGTGTTGTGTGTTGTTTGTTCTTTGCCACCAAAAACAGGTGGACTTTATTGACATATACACCCACCAACCATCCTGGAGCTACTGAAGTACAATTGTTTTGCCTTAGAAAAAACCCTGACTTATTTATATACTAATATTTATTTATACAGTATATTTATATACTAATATTTTCCTGGGATGTATTATATACCCATAAACTTTCAAACCATACAGCCCCTTCTCTAGTTGTCCACTTTGGCCCACAGATACTACCTGAACACACCCCATGTAGTTCTCAGTTGCCCCAGATACTACCCCAGTGTCCGAACAAGACAAATTTCCCAGAAAGGCTGATCAATCCCATTTACTTACCGGATGGTAAGTAATAGATCATTTTTCTGTCCATTCTTATTGTACAGCTGGGGTCTGACATAATTCTGTGGTGGTTTGGGACCAGGGGATCACTGACTGGAGTGTCTCTGAACCTTGGGACTATCTCCACGCCCTCCACATCAAGGGACACAATGTTGTAAGCCTCCACCATTTCATGGTTGCAGACCTGCAAGACAAAAAGGGAAGAAACCATGTCTTGCTTCTTTCTTTACCTACCTTTGTATGCTTTGATCTGATTGTCATGGACCTAACTCTGTCCTCATCGTCCAACTCCAATAAGCACGCTGAGGGGCCAGGTTGATCTAATTCAGTTTTAATGGTTCTGTTCATTCTTTCCACTTGCCCCGCTGCTTCGGGATGATAAGCAATGTGAAATGTCTGATTGATGTCCAGCGGTGTGCATATCCCTTAACCACTGATCCAACAAATCCTCTAGCACTGTCTGACTCCATTATCTTAGGAACCACTGACCCCCTTCCCCCAAGCCAACTGATCAAATTATACACGAATTGTTTTGCTCTTGTCAATGCAGTCATATTTTTTAGTTGGGAATGCCTCCACCCAGTGTGAGAATGAGTCTTATACTGCCTAGCCCGCTCCTGGACAACGCAAGCTCATATAAAGTCCATCATTTTATGAATAGAAAATGATGCGCACAAATCCTATTATCTCAAATAGAGTTTCCCAAACACTTCAACCTAAGCATACTGGTTTAGATAAAACAACAAAACAAATTTATTAACCACAGAAAGATTTTAAGTAATTACAAGTAATGAGGCATAAAGTCAGAATTGGTTACAAGAAAATAAAAGGTAAAATGCAATTAATGTCCAACTTAACAAGCTAAATGAATGCAAAGCAAAGATCTTTCTCACAAGCTTCAGCAGTCTTACTGGCTGGATTTCTTTCGGCCAGGACCCCTCCCCCAGTTCAGTGTTACTTTCCTTGTCTTTAAGTTATCTGAGCTCAATACAGTACAGTAGCTCATGTTTAAGGCTGTGATTCTTTCAGGGAGGTTGCAGAAGTCACGGATTCCATGACTTTCAGCGACCTCCGTGACTTCTGCAGCAGCTGGTGCGGCTGATTTCAGGGCTACCCGAGCAACTGGCCCCAGGGCCAGCTGCTTGGGTGCCCCACGTCCAGCCACACCAGCTGCTGCTGGAGCAATCTGGGGCCAGCTACTCCGGCGGTTCCCAGGGCCAGCCGCACCGGCCACTGCTCAGGAGGCCCGGGGCCAGCTGGCTCTGGGGGCCACCCGACCAGTGACCGGTGCAGCTGGTCACTGCACCCGAACAGTAGTCCTGGTGGCGGCCCTGGGAAGCTCCCGAGCTGTGGTCCCGGGGGCCACCCCAGAGCCAGCTGCACCGGCCACTGCTTGGGCAGCCCCGGGCAGCTGGCTCCAGGGACTGCACAAGCAGTGGCTGGTGCGGCTGGTCCCGGGGGTGGCCCCAGGAGCAGTCCTGGGGATGGCCCCAGGAGCATTTGGGCAATGGTCCCAGGGGCTGCCCCACGGCCAGCTGCAGCAGCCACTACTTGGGCGGCCCCGGGCAGCAGGCTCCAGGGACTGCTGGAACAGCGGCCGGTGTGACTGGCAGCAGTCCTGGGGATGCCCTGGGGACCACCTGAGCAGCAGTGGTCCCGGGGTGCCCAGAAGCCGTTGGGAGAGCGGTCCCCGGGAGCAGTGGCCGGGGTGCAGTCAACCCCCAGCACTGGAGTTGGCCCCCCCTCTAGCAGGGCCTGCCCCAGCAATGGTGCCCCAGAAGTAGAGATTTAGTGAGGGGTATTTTTGGTAAAAGCCATGGACAGGTCACGGGCAATAAATAAAAATTCACAGCTTGTGACCTGTCCATGGCTTTTACCAAAAATACCCATGACTAAATCTTAGCCTTACTCATGTTGAAATACCAGATCTGATTTTAAGATTTGGATCTTGATCTTCTACACCCTAAATAAAATCACTTCTCTGTTTCACCATGACCTTACCAAGGTAGGTGTGTCCCTCAGGAACTCTGAATTCTAGAAGTACTAAGTTAACAGTGACACGTGCTCCAGAGAAAGGCAATAGATCTTTTAGAAGATGAACCATGGTTGTGGAAATCCCTTCCACAAATATTAAATGACCAAAGGTCTTACCTCCTTCAGTGCAAACTATAAATCCTATCTGAATACATTAGATTTCCCATGACAACTTCCCTAAAGAGGTAAAACCAGACTTATTTTCTCAGTGGGGACATTAGTTGTTCAGATTATTTACTTTCTGTAATCTTTGTTGTCTTCAGGTACTACAGTAACAGACATTAAATTAGATAGGAAGAAATAAGAGATAAAGGAAGAGCTGATTGAAAGCTGTGATACTGGATGGGGACACAGAACTCTTTAGTAATGAAAATGAGATCATACTTACAGTAGCGGCTAGTATTCTGTATCTTCACTTACTTTAAATTAAAGTCTGAAATATGTAAGAGAATGGGAGAAAATACAGGAAAGAGGCAAACATGACCACAGAATCTGAGGTCTCAGCTGTGAGACTGCACTAAAAGAACTTGAATCAGTGGGATGGAGCAACTAATAACTGGTGAGGGATTAGGTGATATTGAATATAGAGGAGCTCAACAAAGGGAGACCTAGCAGATGAGTCTGTGCTCAGGAGGATGATTCAAACTAGAGGTAATTTAGTTTGGCTAATATATTTAGGCAAATGTAAAGTACACGGTGACCAGGAGAAAAGAAATTAATGGGTAAGAGGATGTTTATAAGAGTGATTGTTTAAAAAAATATTTTTGTGAAACTTTCGAAGACTTTTGGGTTCAGTATTTCTGCTCACTTTTTCATGTGAAGTAACTTCAGTGTGGGTAGCCTAAAAGCTGAAAGGGAAGCACTTCAAACCTGAGGCCAAACAGCAGCATCTTGTGGTACACACTGTCTTATAACACTGCACATCAGTGCCTAATACATAAATCATACAATGGGAAAAGATATGACAGCAGCAACACTGAACTTGCTCAAAAAATGAGCAGCTAATGTACCCCAAGAGGAGAGTAAATGGAATACATCATAAAAGCTCTCAAATGACCCACTCCTGTCCTTTTTACATTTTCAGATGGATGGAGGCCTGCCTTAATGAGGATCTACCTCCCACAACAGAGCTGGAGGAGGGGCTAAGGAATGGAGTCTATCTAGCCAAACTTGGAAACTTTTTCTCCCCCAAGGTGGTGTCTCTGAAGAAAATCTATGACCGGGAACAAACCAGATATAAGGTGAGACCTCTCCATTCTGGGAACTAGGATGGCTAGAGAGGTCTGAGATAGGAGGGAGACTTCAGGTCATATGGTTGTAGAGGAACTGTCAGTGAATGAGTGAGTAATAGATTGTGGCAAATTTAGACTGAAAAAATGTAAGTTAACTCTTCCTGAACTATAGAATATCAGATGAAGGAAGATCTCTAGTTTAGTCTGAGTTTGTGTGCATGTGAGAGTCTGAGAAAGCTGGCCTTTTGTAAGCCTTAAATATAACTGGCTGTAGAAAGCTTTCATCATAGTACCTAAGACCTCAGATCCCTGGAAGAGTTTAGCTGTTGTAAGTAGCACTTATCAGATGCATGCCTTAGCAAAGTTCCCTGGTACTCACAGTGGCTGTGATGATTCATGTGCTTTTTTTCCCTCCCCTCTTTATTTCAGGCAACTGGTCTCCATTTCCGTCATACTGATAATGTTATTCAGTGGTTGAATGCCATGGCTGAAATTGGCCTCCCCAAGGTAATTTCTGCACTACAACGCCAGGTTTTGAAAGTTGTGGGATGAATTTGCAAACACACAGGATTCAATAAACTCTGCCTAGCTAAACCTTAGTTTCCTAGACTTGGTTCTGCTTTGAAATTCTGAAGTTTGTTAAAATATTCCATTCCCATCCCTGTTTGTATGATTGGGAGGCAGTGAATTCCTGCTTTAGTACCATATGCTTAACACTCATTATTTTGGGTGAGATCTGCAGTACAAAATTTTTATTTTCCATTCTGTTGAGCAGCATGCCTGAGCTACAGTTTGGTCATGGCAATTTTTAGGAATCATCATAGGAAAATCATGGATAAAAGGAGCAACAATTTTTGGAAGTGGTGGATTTTCCATCTCTTGTGGAGCAGTGGTGGATTCTCTGTCTCTTGAAGTCTTCAAATCAAGCCTTTTGGAAAGATGCTTTAGTTAAACACAAATTATTGGCCTAAGTACAGGGGTAACTGGGTGAAATTCCATGACCTGTGTTATACAAGAGGTCCAACTAAATGATCACCATGGTCCCTTCTGGCCCTAAAATCTATAAATCTTTGGGAACATTGTACTGAAAGTCAAACCATGAGCATTGATTTATACCCAACACAACTTTTCCTCACACTTTTATTACGTGTAACAGGAACAGTCCATGTGTTTAATCACACAAGGGTCACTATTATATACCTTAACCTGCTGTCTGCATTTTAAAAAAAATACTCACTTGAAACTGTTGTTTTTAGGATTTCGTCAACATTTGCCACCCAACTCTCTCCTGACTTATCAGCTGTGCTATGCATGAACTCCTAGTGATCTAGAGGAGCAGCAGGAAGTGTAGGAATGGGCTCTGGGAGAGAGATGGTGCTCTGGAGGATGTTGGGTGAGAAGAGAGAGAATGTGGGGGACAGCTGGAGAGAATGGGACTTGGGTCAGGCATGAGGGCTTGAGTAAGGCTGCGAGGAAATGGAGGGAATATAGCAGCAATATGTAAGGGGACTGGGGGGAAGACTTCACTGGTAGAGAGGGGGGCTTGTTGGAAGGCTACGTCAGAGCAGGGGACCTGAGATAGAGCCCATTGTCTCTGCAACAAGGCAGTGACACATCAAATACTCCCCATTTCACAGCTGCCTAGAGCACCAACGAACTGAGGCAGCAGAATTGAGGGAGTGCAAGTGTGAAGCCTTTGTGCAGAGACACTTGTCATTTTGCGAGGGTACACAGCAGTAAGGAGAACACACAGGCACATGTCCTTCCAAGAAAAGTAAGTGCTTTGTTAAAGATAACCCGGAAATAGTCAGCACTTCTGATTGTGAAAAAGATTTGTGGGTCATGACAAATAATCAGCTGAATATGAGCTCCCAGGGTAATGCTGTGGCGAAAAGAGCTAATGTGATGTTGGGATGCATTAACAGGGGAATCTCAAATAGGAGTAGAGAGGTTTTTTTTACCTCTGTATTTGGCACTGGTATGACCACTTCTGGAATACTGTGTCCACTTCTGGTGCCCACAATTCAAGAAGAATGTTGATACATTGGAGAGTGTTTAGAGAAGACCCACAAGAATGATTTAAAGGATTAGAAAACATGCCTTATAATGATAGACTCAGGATGCTCAGTCTATTTAGCTTAATAAAATAAATAGAAGGCTGAGGAGTGATTTGATTTACAGTCTATAAGTATCTACAGGGAGAACAAGTATTTAATAATGGGCTCTTATCTAGCAGAGAAAGGTCTGACATTCAATGGCTGGAAGTTGAAGCTAGATAAATGCAGACTGCATATAAGGCATATATATATATATATTTTTTAACAGCAAGAGTAATTAACCATTGGAACAATTTGCCAAGGGTCATGATGGTTTCTCCATTACTGACAATTTTTAAATCAAGATTGGATATGCTCACAGGAGGTCAGACTGTCATAATGGTCCCTTCTGGCCTTAGAATCTATGTAGTGACGCCTTCCACGTTAACCCTTTAAGGGGCCTGACTTTCAAAAGAGCTCTGGATCCAAGAATGTGATAATAGGAGCTGCTGGGGATGAACAATTAAAAATATGGCCTCCAACATTTGTTGGAAAATATGGCCCCAGGTGCCTTGCAGCACAACACTGTCTTTACCATTCTCCTAGGCCACTCACACATAGTCCCCTTCTGCCCACCCAGTCCAAACAAAATCCTCTTCCCCAACCCCTCATGTAAATATCCCTGCTCATCTCTTGGCTCCCTCAGCATCTCCAACCCAGTTCCCCAGGTACACCACACAGTATCTCTGTGGGGAGCCAATGCGGGGTGGTCACGTAAAAGGGGCATGGGGCTGAGCAGGGATGTGGATGTGAGAGTACATGTAAGGAAAGTGGGGAACAGGTTTGTTGGTAGATGCATGGGAGAAATGTGGGGCTTCAGCTAGGAGGGGCCTCAGTGGGGTACAAAGTGGAGGGGAGACATGTTGTGCTCCATGAACTACCTATCTCATGACTGGGCTGGAGGAGTTTTAGGATTGTCAGAATCCTTCCTACTAGGATGGCTAGAGTAGCGTATTATTCTGATGGTTAACTTTGTTTTATATTCAGATTTTCTACCCAGAAACTACTGACATCTATGATCGGAAGAACATGCCACGCTGCATCTATTGTATCCATGCACTCAGGTAATGTGTGTTAGGTAGGAGGCTGAACTGTGAGTGAATGAAGGCTACCTAGAAATCTGAAGTCTGTGGGAATGCAAATGCATTCTGATTCAGAGTTGGTGGGGGTGAATGTACTGTGGGCTTAAAGGAAGATCTGCAGCTTTCAGGAGTGGCACCTATGAAATGATGAATGAATTTATGTTTCCAGTGATAAGTGCTATGCATGTTTAAGAGTCAGTGATATCACCAGCCATTGGAGGCAGCATATACATCTTGAGATTCCCAAGCCTAAGAGATGGGGTGCGTACAGCTGTGAATCTCCTTCCTTGGGGATTGTGTGTGTATATGTGCATATTTGTGAATCACGGTATCATGAAGCAAGAAGTGTAATCAGAGCCTTTTGAAGGTGTGTGCAGTATAGAGTGCCCTACCCCAGAGAAGCATATATAGTAGGTTCCACTTAATAGTGACCCAGATATAAACAACTTACAGTTAATAGCAACATTTTGCTGGGAACCAATCCCACCCCATTGACTTTAATATTAATGGGATCCGGATAGTGGCAACAGCATGTTGCTTATTCACGACGTCTTTTGGAAGAAAGGTTCTACCTGCAGGCAGGTTTGTGGGGCTGCGGCCCCAGAAGGAAGCACTGGAATGTGCTGAGCACCCCTGTTGCAGCCATGGAAGCCTGCCTGCACACTGAGACTGCACAGGAGGTAGGTGGCTGGGAGGGAAGAGGAGGCTGTCATCAAAGCAATAGTGGAGGTTGGGGAGGGGGCAGCAGGCTGGAAAACCTGCATGTGCACAGGCTCTGCACAGGAGGTAAGAGGCGGGTGGGGAGGAGAGGTGGGGGAAGGCTGTGGGCAGAGCAGTAGCTGGGGTGAGAGGGGCACCCCAGTGGTACCTCTCCCTGTGCTGCTCTGGGCTACACCCTGCTGGGAGACTCCACATAGGGAAAGAATTGCTGTGATGTGTGGAGAATGCAGGGAAAGGTACCATGCAGCTCTGTGGGCCCTCAGAGCCCCCAGTCCCCTTGGAAAGCCCTGGCATCCAGGCTGCAGCCCCCCTCCCTGCTGCTGTCGTGCCTGCAGGCAGGTTTGCAAGGCTGCAGCCAGGGAAGTGAAGTTCTGGCACTTCCTTCTTTGACTGCTGTCTCACAAACCTACCTTCCACTTATTAGCAGCTGCTGGATAATAGCAACTTTTTGCTGGCTACCAAGGGGTTGCTCAATAAGTGGAATCTACAGTATTTGTGTGACCATAAAAGAGAATCGAGATAGTATCACATTATGTATCGTCCTGCCACCAGATCAGGAATGGACACTAATGACAACTGGTCACGAGGATCAAATCCCAAACATATAGTGTGAAGTGCTGTCTTGGGTTTGCTTTAAAGGGTCTACTCTTCCCACTCCTACCCTCGCTTTGGCCACACTTGTATAGCTTGTCATGCTAATAAAATATCACTGAATTGAAAATTAATCTTAGGAAGGGTATGAACGTACTGTGGGTGTTCAGAAGCATGAGTATGCACATGCCCCATTCTGTCTCATATGATGCATGTTTACTTCTATAATGGTTCTAGATTTTCACTGTTGTGTGCACTGTCTGAATCTATATCTAGTCCTGCAGTGTGAGAGGCAGAAGGGGAAGTGACAACACTGTCATTTTCACCTGCTAATAAACTATGAATTTCAGTTTGTGTCTGGAGAGAATAGATGCAGGCTTGTTTGTTCAGCTGAGCAGCAGGTAGAGAGTAAAGTGAGGCCAACCTTCTGTGTGCAGCATGTTTATTTTTAGGATAAATCAGGGAGGCTTTTGGGGGCTTTGTGAAAAGCCATGTAAAGCTTTAAAATGCTTTCAGAGGTCAGAGGGATAATCTCTCACCTCTTGAGGTAACTAGAAAGATCCATTTGGCTGTGCTAGGTACTTCTGTCTTTGCCTCATTAGAGTGTGTTGAAGTGGATAGTTTTGCTCCCGCTTCATGCTCCAGAGAGATAGAACATTGCATTGCAATGACTTAGTCCTTCCTGATAAACCAGTTTGGATGCAGGTTTCCAATCTGATTGTAGAAGAATATTTAGTGGGCTTCACATGAAGAACACTCCTTAAGACATTTCTGTATAAAGAGCACTGAGCCATATCAGTTTGGGTCTCCATCTTATGCTCAGTCAGTTTCAGTCCTCAAGAAGGAGCTTGTTCTTTTGCTTTCTGATCCTTTGGCAGGGTGAAATCTGAGGAGGAAACATCAAGATAGATTGCAAATAGCTGAACATCAACAGAAGTTTCAGGCTGGTGTAGAATCAGATTGTTTGTAGAAGTGAACCTGCTTTCAACCCAGTTCCCAACATTTAGTATAACTTGCAGTCAGGAACACTTGGCACTGTGTGATGGCCAATTATGGAACTGTGTAGTGTATGCTCCTTTGACCAGTATGAAAGGGATTTGGGTCATTGTTAGTGGTGAAGCGCCTCCTTACTGGCAGCTTCACGATAGCTGCTGCAGTTATTCTTTGAGTAGTTGGGCTCAGCTGGCAGATGTTCACATCTCCTTGTCAGTCTGGTCCTCTTTGTCAGTGATGTGTAAATCAGAATCCAGATATTCAGAATGAGTCAGGTTTTTGCTGAAATATAAATAATGGGCAACATATAGGTCTCCAAGAGTAAGGACTTGTCTACACGGGGACACTCAGGAAAGTTAATCTGAATTAACTAAAAGTGTGAATTTAAAGTGGATAAACTAAATTGCATTAAACCCTGGTGTTGACACTTATATTCAGAATTAGAGTGGCCTTAATTCAATTTATCTTACTTCACTTTGCAATCCCAACCCTATAGGCACCAGCACACCTTGCAGTTACCTAGTGCAGTAAAGAATATACAAACGTTCCTTACCACCCTAGGTAGCTGCATGGTGTGTTTGTGCCTGTAGGGTTGGGCTGGCTCTGTGCTGTTAACCAACAGAATAAAGCAAATCTTTGGTAGGAAGTTACCCAGATGTGCAACCAGATGTCTGCTGATCAGAAGGGAACTTTTAAATATGGATCTTTCTTTCTGGAGAGGGGTATATTGTTTTTTCACGGTGACATTCCTTCATACACAAATGCTTCACTGGGAGAATCAATCACCATCACAATTGAAAAGGCAGGTTTTAACCATCTAGAAGTCTTTCCACTTAGCTGAATGTTTCCCAGTATCTCTCTCTCCCTTAATTTACTTGTGAGTGGGGTAAAGACCACAAGGAGTAATTAGTGCTAATTATTCCTGTATTATGTTTCCTAGTCTGTACCTGTTTAAACTGGGACTGGCCCCTCAGATTCAAGATTTATATGGGAAGGTGGACTTCACAGGTATGGAGATTTCTTGTTCTCTGAGATTTGAATGATTATGAATTTGCATACCCTGTTTACTTACTCCAGTAGATGCTGTACATAATGGACAGAGGGAGATTAATGCCCAAAGGCAGCCAGGGCTGTAACTTCATTTGTGTTTAGTGGGTGGGGGATTCCTCCCATACTAGCTGGGGAAGGAGACTCCAGAATTTTAGGAGGAAGTTTTATTCTGAATTATTTAGTTATTGGCTCTGTTAACAGTAGTATGTCTCCACTGTCTCTCCCTCCCCTTCCCTTGGCTTTAGTCTTTTTCCTTCCAGAGAACCAGCTGCAGAAGAAAACAAGCTTTGTAGGATGTTGTGTATGTACTTTCCTTGCCCTGCTGGCAGCCATACTTTGAGATGTACAGGGATCACGTAATCTGTTTCAAACCTTTGTCGCTAGGAGCACAAAACTATGTAGTGAGACAGACTTCTGTGAGGCCCTCCCATTTGAATGACTGGAACGAATATAGGAGAGTTTTGTCTCTTCTCAGACTGCATGCACAAAGTATTTGTGAAAGGGCAATTTGCAATCTATTGTAGCTGTTCTAATTTTTCTGTGGCAATAGCTGATCTTAGGGCTGATTCTAAATGTTCTGCCCACATTACATCCTTTCCCTTTATGTTTCAGAGGAGGAGATCAGTAACATGAGGAGTGAGCTGGAGAAGTATGGAATTCAGATGCCTGCCTTCAGCAAGATTGGAGGAATTTTAGCTAACGAACTCTCTGTGGATGAAGCAGCATGTAAGGGGAAATGGATTTTCATCCTCTGTGACTGTTTAAATTGCCAGATTGGATAGAAAGTGCATGTTATAGTGCTGGCTCTAATAGTCCCTATTGTTTAAGTCAACACAGGCCTTCTATGGCCAAGACATTTTTGTTAGAAAATCTGAATGTGATTTGGTCAAAATCAAACTACAATATCAGGAAATAAGTACTACCGTTGTCAAAAATACAAAGTCGTACTTATAATTTATATACTGATAATTCTTGCAACAATGCCAAAGCTCTAGTCAGCTGTTTTCTTCTTTACCAGATAAGCCTTTAATTTATTACAGGACAGAGCATTCATCTTTGCAGTTAACAGGGAAACTGTGATTTGTTTTTCAGTGCATGCTGCTGTTATTGCCATTAATGAAGCAATTGACCGCCAAGTTCCGGCTGACACCCTGTTGGCAATGAAAAACTCCAATGCCATGTTGGTGAATCTTGATGAACTGCTGGCATCAATCTATCAGGACACATTGTATCGGGCAAAGAAGGACAAGATGGAGAATGCCAAAAACAGGGTAAAAATCAATGTTCCTTTCTAGTTACGAATTCATGTTCATTGTATTGTTCATTATGTCACCAGAGGAGATTGCTCATGGAATCCAGTGAAACCATATTGTTCAGTCTTTTGTGTAAGATGTTAGGCCAGATTTATCCTTAGTGAAATTCCATTGTAGTTTCCAGGGATTAATTTAATCTATTATGAGATTGAAGAAAACAGACATTATAGTTTTACATCTGATTTGCAGTTGAATCTCTTACACACAGATTCCCAAGGAATATGCATGGTGGAAGAACATAGAGGAGCTGTCTTATTCTAGACATCAATAAAGCCTGTCCTCTTTTTTTATAGAATTTTTGAGTCTTTCTAATGTATATATGTAACAAACCCACCATCCCACAAAATTTGAACTATTTCTAGAACTTCACCTAGACTAAACTTGCTTAGTGAATCTCGTTCTCCAAGTCTACCTAGGCTGTGAGTAATCCTACTCTATAGAGGCTGATATTTAGAAGCACTACACATCCGAGTCTAAACACTATGGTCCCAAAAGCTTGGTATGTCACTTTGTAAATGAATCTGCTTACAGAATTCTACCCAAACTATCGGTTGTCTGCTCTCTGCCATAGTGATAGGCAAATTAGCAATACTTAGATATGTGGCCTGTTCTGGAATATCATATCCATTTATTTGGCTTGGAACATTTCCAGTTTGAGAACCTGTATGTGTCTGCCTAACTGGATCTATTGCATTATACGTCCTGGGATTCCTTCTGTGTGCCCACACAGAGCTGTTAAATGAAATCATCCAGTCTTATGTATTGTATATCCTTCTCTGTTTGCTGGAGATTTATACTTTCTCTCTCTGTGTGCGTGTGCGTGTGCGTGTGTGTGTGTGTGTGTGTACACCTAGGGATATTCACTTCCAGGACTTGCTTTTATGTGTGTGTAGTTGTTACTGACCTCTTGTGCCGTGGTTTAGAACTTCATGTAGGTGTACATTAGTTATGTTCATTGCCCTTTCTGTTGGAGGACTGTAAGAGGCCTGTAAACAACACACTGCAAAGTCTGCTCTAGAGCTGCATTGATAATTTTGTTTCATTGTCAGACTGGCTCTGAGAATTCAGAGAGAGAAAGGGATGTGTACGAAGAGCTGCTGACTCAAGCTGAAATTCAGGGCAATGTCAACAAAGTCAACAGTAAGTTTCCCACTGAACTAATAGGCCTGGATAAAGAGTATTCAGACTTGTGTGGCTCCTTTACTCCCCCTTCCATCCCTGTACTTTGAACTAAGTTGAGTAGCTCTCCTTGCTGTATTTGTTCATAGTATTTCTCTATATCAGGGGTCGGCAACCTTTCAGAAGTGGTATGCCAAGTCTTCATTTATTCACTCTAATTTAAGGTTTTGCGTGCCGGTAATACATTTTAACGTTTTTAGAAGGTCTCTTTCTATAAGTCTATATTATGTAACTAAACTATTGTATGTAAAGTAAACAAGATTTTCAAAATGTTTAAGAAGCGTGATTTAAAATTAAATTAAAATGCTGATCTTACGCCGCCAGCCTGAGGTTCTGTTCACCTAGGCCGGCAGAGGGCTGATCAGGGCCTGCGGCCGGGACCCCAGACCTGGGGGTGGGGGGGTGTTTCAAGGGTCAGGGCAGAGGGCTGGGGGAGGGGGTTCAGGGCAGAAGGCTGGGGTGTGTGTGGCGGGGGTTCAGAGATCAGGGCTGGGGGCTGTGGGGGGTGCAGGGCAGAAGGCTAGGTGTGTGTTGGGGTGGGGGGGTTCAGGGCAGAGGGCTGGGTGTGTGTGGGGGTGCAGGGCAGAAGGCTGGGGGTATGGGGGGTGCAGGGCAGAAGGCTGGGTGTGTGTTGGGGTGTGGGGGGTTCAGGGCAGACAGCTGGGGGTATGGGGGGTGCAGGGCAGAAGGCTGAGTGTGGGGGAGGGTTCAGGGCAGAAGGATGGGGCTGTGAGGGTGCAGGGCAGAGGGATGGGTGTGTGTTGGGGTGGGGGGGTTCAGGGCAGAGGGGTGGGGGTGCAGGGCAGAAGGCTGGGGTGCTCGGCTCATGGGGGTGCTCCCAGCCCCCTGCCCTGAGCCGCTCAGGGCAGGGGGCTGGAAGGGATATGCCCTGTTCCACCCCTTTCCCCCAGGCTCCGTCCCTACCTCTCTCTGTGTCCTCTATGGAGCAGTGTGCACGCTGCCGCTCTTCCCCCTCACCCTCACTAGGGCCATCAGCTGATTGGCCAGGGATGGAGAGGAGGAGGGGCAGGAAAGCACCACTGGGGGAAGAAGTGGGGGAGAGGAAAGCTTGGCTGCCGCAGAACCAAGCTTCTGCCTCCTGCCCCCGCAGGGGAGAGCAGGGGGGTTGAGTGGGCCTGGGGTCCGGGACCGCGGCAGGGAGCTGCATGCCACTCAAAATCGGCTCGCGTGCCGTGTTTGGCACACGTGCCGTAGGTTGCCGACCCCTGCTCTATATTATGAATTCATCCTGCCCCTTGTCCCTCCCCTGGCCCCTTAAAGAAGTGCAGGATCTCCATTAAACTCTGTGCCCTGAGTATTACATACCATTTTCATCTCTTTCACTTGTTAAAGTCCTCCTGAGTGATTTTGGAGTCTGACTTGGAGACTTCCAGGCCTAAACTATCAGTCAGTAGTGTTCAGGAAGAGATGCCTTTGAGGCCTCTGCTATAGAAGCCTAATGATTGCTACATTTAGCTTTTGACCCTTACTTTACTTTGCTCTCTCCCTAGCACATTCAGCCCTATCAAAGATAGATCTGGTTTTGGAACAGGGAGATGCATTAGCTTTATTTGAAGTTTTGACATCACCAGCCCTGGGACTCCGAGGATTACAGCGAGAAAATTGTGACTGGTATCTCAAGCAGCTCTTGAGTGACAGGCAGCAGAAACAGGAGGTATGGAAAAGCATATGTAATCATTGTGAAAGTATTTATAATACCACAAACCATCACACATTAATTATATGGGATGATCACAAACCTCCCATATGAGAGTTAATGTTACTTTGGAAAACTTTAAAAAGTATTTAAAAAGTAAACTTAGTAATCCAACAGCATAACACATGTGCAAGAGATATTGTGATTGTGTACGTATAATGGAATACTTGATGGTATGGTATAAAGGCTTTATTAGTGTGAGTTTGAAACGGCAGCATTACTCATGAATGGTAAATGTCACAACTTAAAGGCTGATATTTCAGGGTCTTCAAGGGCTGGGAGTGAATCCTAGGGACCCACTACAATATTGAGGAACTCTTATATCCAGTAATTTAAAGTTTGCAGATTTCAAAGTAATCATATTTTTGTGTATGGAAAAGCAGTTCCTAGTTCAAGACTAAATCTTGCTCATTCTGGACCTCGGACAGGTGTGATTATTGAGGGGGAGCGTCCACCTTTGGGAGTATGGAAAGGAAGTATTTTTGTGACGGGTTTGAACCTGCTCAGGGTCTGGAACATTATTGTAGTGAACAGAGTGCATGATAAATGTATTTATTACATAGCTGTAACCTCAGCATAGGAGAAGAGTTTATATAAAGTGTGTGTATATAACTATAATAATATATATGTATACACTTAAATGTAAAATATAAATAAATACATAATGAATATATATGTATGTATATAACGTTTTATGCTCTTACTTTACTATGTTCAGTGCTCAAGTACTTTATTGTAAATACCTATGATACAGATAAGCATATAATATTTTTTCCTTATAGATAACTTAAAGATTATCTTCTTATTTTAAGCCTAACTTTCAGTGAATTTTGCATGTATATTGTATATGAATGTTGTTTATAGAATGCATTAGTGTAGTTTTCTGAACTTAGTAGGGCCTCAAAGTAAACTAGTTTATGTAATATTTGTATGCATATTATTACGGAGGACTGCAATGGTGGAGGGGATAATTATTACTATGGTATATTTTTAATAATTTGTCTTTTACAAGGTCTAACATGGTAAAGAAGTAGGATACCAAGTACATTCAGAGCCAGGAATAAAGGCAACAATTCAGTTTATTCAACTGAGAATAAAGCTCTGACATTTTTGAAGTCCATGAGCAGACAAACATTAAGAAGATAAAGATCATTATTACATTTCATAATTCTGGTTGAGTCTATTGGCAACCCTCCTAAAATTGTTGAGCTGTCATAGGTCTTATGGCGGGTCAACACATTTTCTACTTGAAGATTGATTTATTCATAATGCTCTTCACTATAGCATTTGAGTGTCTCATAGACATTAACTTATCCTCTGCCCTTGGGAGGTAGGAAAGTATTATCCCAATTTTACAGATTATAGGCATCCCAGCAGAAGTAGATTTTGATGAGGGATTTGCAGTGGGCGTACCTGTTCCTAATGAACTGCCTCCTCACATGATGATGGGTTTTGAAACTTTCTATACAAGAGAAGAGCCTGCTTAGCTTGGTAGGGGAAGAGACCTGCAAGAAAACTAGGATCAGGGAGAGACATGTAGAAGAGTTTTCCTGCTCCCGACAATAGAGCCAGATGGAGGCAGAGAGTGCTAGGAGGCTCTCTGAAGTGGGCCAAAGGAAAAGAGAGAGAGAGAGAGAGAGCCATGCACAAACACAAGGAAGGGGCTGTGGAAAAGGCCTACAAGCAGGTGGAGGTAAAAAGTGGTTGAGGGAGTTTAAGCAAGGGGGCTGAGAAGGTGAACCATTTTAGTTCAGAAAAGGGCAACTAAAATGATTAGGGGTTTGGAACGGGTCCCATATGAGGAGAGATTAAAGAGGCTAGGACTTTTCAGCTTGGAAAAGAGGAGACTAAGGGGGGATATGATAGAGGTCTATAAAATCATGAGTGGTGTGGAGAAAGTGAATAAGGAAAAGTTATTTACTTGTTCCCATAATATAAGAACTAGGGGCCACCAAATGAAATTAATGGGCAGCAGGTTTAAAACAAATAAAAGGAAGTTCTTCACACAGCGCACAGTCAACCTGTGGAACTCCTTGCCTGAGGAGGTTGTGAAGGCTAGGACTATAACAGGGTTTAAAAGAGAACTAGATAAATTCATGGAGGTTAAGTCCATTAATGGCTATTAGCCAGGATGGGTAAGGAATGGTGTCCCTAGCCTCTGTTTGTCAGAGAGTGGAGATGGATGGCAAGAGAGAGATCACTTGATCATTACCTGTTAGGTTCACTCCCTCTGGGGCACCTGGCATTGGCCATTGTGGGTTGACAGGATACTGGGCTGGATGGACCTTTGATCTGACCCAATATGGCCGTTCTTATGTTCTTATGCTTGTACAGTGTGTCTGGGCCGGAACTCAGAGTAGAAGGAGGGCCGAACCCCTACAGGCTTATTGAGGAAGGTGATGTGAAACCTTCCTCTCCACCTTCCTCCCCCCGACATAAGGAGTGGAAGAATTTTTGAGCCTGGAGTTGGGTTGATGATCCAACCTGAGATTGCTGAATGATTGTTTGTTTTGGACTTTCTGTTTACTTTGGGAAAAGGGGATGGGTTTATGATTTGGCCAGAGGCCAGTAAGAAGCACTGGAGTTGGCCTAGCCAAAAGTGGGAGATTGAAATGCCTACAGCCAGAAGAGGGAAACTGAGGCTCAGAGCACTAGGTTCCAAGGTAATTGTGTCACATGCACTTTCACAAGCCAGCGGTCAGATGGATGACTAGCTTAATGAGTGTATAGTAATTCCCAGTTTGAGATATCTGACAGTGATATTGAAAGGTCTTTAGCCTTTGCAGCAAGCTCCAAGTAATAAAGAATTGTTCTTCAAGTATGTGTCAGTTTGGATCCCACTCTACCTAGGGAGGTGGTGGAGTCTCCTTCCTTGGAGGTTTTTAAGGCCCGGCTTGACAAAGCCCTGGCTGGGATGATTTAGTTGGGAATTGGTCCTGCTTTGAGCAGGGGGTTGGACTAGATGACCTCCTGAGGTCCCTTCCAACCCTGATATTCTATGATTCTAAGATACGTGCATGCCTATGCATGTGAGATCAGACTCTTTTAATAGCACTGTTGGGCCGTGCCTGCGCCATGTATGTCCTTGTGCCCCTCCACCCAAGAGAATAAAGGGCAGAGCAGCCATAGGTGTTCCTCAGCTCTCTCACTGCTACTGGAAGCAAGATGGAACAAGTGGTGTCTTCACGCTACTCCTGAGCAGAATCTGCTTCTTGCAAATTAATTAGTTAGATAGGGTTAATTCCTTTTCCTCCTTTTTTATTTAATTCTGTTATAAACCCAAACAGATTTAAATTTAAATTTTCCTTGGCACTTTGCACCCCTATCTGGGCCAAAAATGGTGGATTCAAAGCTCTTGGGCTTCAAACCATAGCCATCCTGTGACAGACTTATGCCATTCACAGATGGCCATGGCCGCTGTCTTTTTTTGTCTCAGTGAGAGCCATGTGCTAGATAGCTGCTTGGTTTGCCATTCCTTTTCAATTGGAACACTCATCTGAAGTTATATCCCTTGGAACAATCAATGAGAGAGAGTACAGATCCTGAAGAGTGAGGATTGACTTCAAAGATGGATCCAGTCTCTTCTAGGTCCCAGAGTCAGCCAATGCCTCTGCTGGCTGGCACACAGGGCATACTGTGTTGGTACCTGCAAAAATTGCACAGCACCCTCAGGAAAGGATTCAGGACCATCAAAGACCATTTTGCCATGGACTCCCACCTCAGCACTGAAAACTGGTATGGCTTCCTTGTTGAGGCAAGGGAGATCTGAAGACTGGGATAGGCATAGTTCCCTGCATTGATTTCCCTCTCTTCAGGGCCGGCTCCAGGGTTTTGGCCGCCCCAAGCAGCCAAACAAAAAAAACAAAACAAAACAAAAAATCGCGATCTGCGGCGGCAATTCGGCGGGAGGTCCTTTGCTCCGAGTAGGAGTGAGGGATCGTCCGCCGAATTGCCACCGAACAGCTGGATGTGCCGCCCCTCTCCGAAGTGGCCGCCCCAAGCACCTGCTTGGTAAGCTGGTGCCTGGAGCCGGCCCTGCCCCTCTTCCCATAGAGACTCAACCCATCATTCTCGTGCATACTTCTTGACCACGTTAGCTTGCATGTACATGACAACACTAGCCAGATTTCACTTGTGTTGATTACAGGGCTGGCTAAGGTCGGTGTATCATCTCACCATCAAATGATCATGTGAGTTGTGGTCCCAGCTCGCATTCTGTTGCCGCTGAATCATAGAATATCAGGGTTGGAAGGGACCTCAGGAGGTCATCTAGTCCAACCCCCTGCTCAAACCAGGACCATTCCCCAACTAAATCATCCCAGCCAGGGCTTTGTCAAGCCTGACCTTAAAAACCTCTAAGGAAGGAGATTCCACCACCTCCCTCGGTAACCCATTCCAGTGCTTCACCACCCTTCTAGTGAAAAAGTTTTTCCTAATATCCAACCTAAACCTCCCCCACTGCAACTTGAGACCATTACTCCTTGTTCTGTCATCAGCTACCACTGAGAACAGTCTAGATCCATCCTCTTTGGAACCCCCTTTCAGGTAGTTGAAAGCAGCTATCAAATCCCCCCTCATTCTTCTCTTCTGCAGACTAAACAATCCCAGTTCCCTCAGCCTCGCCTCATAAGTCATGTGCTCCAGCCCCCTAACCATTTTTGTTGCCCTCCGCTGGACTCTTTCCAATTTTTCCACATCCTTCTTGTAGTGTGGGGCCCAAAACTGGACACAATACTCCAGGTGAGGCCTCACCAATGTCGAATAGAGGGGAATGATCACCTCCCTCGATCTGCTGGCAATGCCCCTAATTATACAGCCCAAAATGCTGTTAGCCTTCTTGGCAACAAGACACACTGTTGACTCATATCCAACTTCTCGTCCACTGTAACCCCTAGGTCCTTTTCTGCAGAACTGCTTCCTAGCCATTCAGACCCTAGTCTGTAACAGTGAATGGGATT